GTTGTGGTTATTACTAATACCTGACCGTCTTTACTTTCCCTCTGGTAAATAAAGGTGGGTATTAAAACCTGAGTAGGTCAGGTTAGTAGTCTTGCACTCTATCGCCGGACCTTGCATATTCAATGGTACTATTATTAAAACTCTGAATTAATAGCTGATGAGATAATTTTTATGCTATTTAACTGCACATAATTATTTTCTATAGAACAGGCGTAGTAAACAACGTTAACATCCTTCTAGAATTATGTTTCCTTGTTCGTGTTACTATTCATGAAAGCGATTGCGTCATTGTGACACCATTGATTTGCATACAGCTGAACACGCTATACAGGCACAGAGACATAGGGGCTGTGAAGGCTGCTGTAGTTTTGTTAGTGCTACTCTTCATGAAACAACTTCAACAACGGTCTCATCTGTCGGCCGATCAGAGTTTCTTCAACTACCCCCCCCCCCTCGAGAAAAAAGTGTGAAAGAAACACTGCACCCGATCGTTATTCTTATGGTGATAAACTAAACATTCATCCAGACTACTAACAAATCCAACATTGTCTAAGGACGAAGTTATTGGGCCAAATTAAAATTACAAAATAAATTTAATATTTCTGTTTAAAACGTAACAATCGTTACACAGATACCAAAGCTGCAGCCACCTTAGCTAATCTAATTGCAGAAACTGCTGTTTTTACACATCCATATATAACGAAACCTAATGGAATTTATTTAGCTGACAACAAATTAAATTAATTATAAAATGTTTTAATTTATTGGCACATGCAATAATACGAATTCTTCAGATAAAAATAAAACGGCGAATAGTAAAATAAGACTATTTGTTATTTTAAAATTAAAATAATTTCATAAAACCATTTAACTTAAATGTCAATAAAAATAGATGTAATTAAGTTGTATTTTAATGTAAAAAAGTAAAACAACATTCTAACAAATATCATGTTTTTTTTTAATAAAATGTTTAAAATTATTGCAACATGTAACAATACGAATTGTTCAGATAAAAATATAAAGGCGAATAGTAAATTTCAATGTTTTAAATAATTTTATTCAAATTGATGTTTGAAATATATCTGTGTCTTCTAGCCAACAGTGTCAGTAGCCACCGTTTCATAATGTGTCGAAGGTACTTCATTGTAGACATTGCTAAAAGTTTCATACGGATCGCAGACTTTGTTCTCGTAGACATGTTTTGTTTGATATTCTGAGTCTGTGTTAGCTCCATCGTAAGTTTCTACAAATCCGGTTCGGCCTTCTGAAAAAACGAAAACCTTAATAACAACGCATATCAATAAAATGGGGGTCGGCGTGTTCGGGTGTGTATAGATCATGGTTCTTAAAACCAACATGTCTCGGGTACGAACGCCCCAGGAAAATGATGCTCGATAGCAGGGTGCAGCAACCCATCTAGGAGAGGAAACTCCAAATCAAACAACTACTGCTAACACGGCATCTTGGGTGTATGACTTCCCAGTATAAGGTACCGGTCAGGGCGCGTGAGTTTCTACTGTCAACGGTCAAGTGTTCGTTACAAAGGCGAGGTCAGGCACGGAGAGGGGTGGGCACTGCCATGCGACACTCTGCCCTAGACACACCGCTATGTTGTGCCCAGACGACCCAAACAAGGGTACAGGGATGATTTACATTTGTGTCAGAACAATACAATACTCGCATTCAAACATTTACCTTAGTAAAGTACTGATTATTTCAAACCATTTGATTTGCTATTGGTTTGTTCGAATAATTCGTTAGTTGATAGTCTATTACTTACTACACTTAGTCTACAGATCTGACTTACCTCCGCTACTAGACAAATGTGAATCGTTTTGTTGACTGTCCTCAGTTGAACGAGAACTTGTACCCCTCAAACGACGAAATATGATAACTATAGTTAATCCAATGATAAACACACAACACATTACTCCTATTCCAATGCCGACACCAATAGAAATTCCCTGTGATAATCTATCTTCTGTGATAAGAAAGATAATTTTGTGTATCTTAGAAATTATGACGATCAAAATAGCGGTTTTTATTTTCATTTTTCAAAAATAATAACATTGCTAGCTTTAAATTAGTTTGAGTGCTTTCCAACATATAGATTTAAAATCAAGATTTGGCCCTTGACGAGAATAGATGGTGCTAAAAATATTCATGATTTATATGTGCTATAAAAAGAAAAAGATCACATTAGAACTAGAAAAACTAATTACAAAACTGTACTACTAACCCACACAGAGGTCAGAAAAAATACCACTGATAAACCAAAAATATTGTGGGATTTTTCAAACCTCTTTTAGGATAATTAGACCGAGACCGAGTATTTTGGTTTTGCAATCGTGCAATCCGTCTTCCTGTCACTCGTTTTCAAATTTTCAACGGCTGGCTGTATACTTCAAAAAATAAATTAATGACTTGCAATATGTTGTTTTTACTCAATTTGTCCACTGTTGTTTAGACTATAAAAAAAGATGATGAAGCAACACAATAAATACACCTAGAGCGAAATTTACTTGTGCTTTGTATTTCGGGCACATAATTTTGAATAGTTTAATTTTCTTTATGACTGCATCATACATTTTTTTTAAATTAACAAAAAAAAAAAAAAAAAACCAACGCCCCTCCCAAATGTTTAAGATTTGAGTCACTACGTTTTTTACAGTCACTAAACTATTTTGATTTTGGGATTAAACAATTTATCTAACTTAAGCTTAACCTAGTCTGCAAAGCCTAGTAAATCTAGTAGTCCATTTTCTTAAGTTAGACTGTATTTCAGTATTGCTGATCAGAATTAACTATTTTTTTCGAGCCCGTTTGGCGCCGCCCTCCCCCATTCTCTCGAGCGAGAGGTCATCCCAAGCTATTGTTCTAATACTTTAACGAAGGTGAATTTAAAGATCCACAGAGACTGACAATTGGCTAATGGCTTCCGATAAAAATCCAGGTATTGCGTGCGGTAGAAATTCCCAACGAGAACAAACTATGACGTCTTTGGGAAATTATTAGATATTTATAAATGATGAGTAGGTTCAGAATGATTAACTGACGAAATAAATGTAGGACACCTTTTAAAACTTTTCATCAACTATCCACGTACAATAAATTAAAATGCTTTTGTTTTCCATAAAAGTTAAATTATGTTCTTTGCGTTTTACAAGACTTAATTAAACTTGCTTCCTGCGTTTGTCGTGCTTTTGTCGGTCGTCCGTCATAGATCGAAAGCGGTACGCGAAATTTCGAGCTCTGCATTATTACAAAAGATCATGTTAAAATGTGTTTTCATGCATTTAAAAAAAATTCATATCAGTGAGATATATTACTTTATTAAAAGATATTTCATAATTAAGAAACAAAGTAAACAGCAAGAGTACAGGTACATTTATTTTATTAATAAATCTTGATAACATTGATTATACATATTATATGTTGCAATACAGTATTAAAAAAAAACCATTGTTTTTTAAATAGCGAACCCGATACGCTGTAAGTTAGCAAGTGTAGTAGTTCAATAATTACAAAACTTTTCTGAACAAAATCATCGCAGACGTTAAATGTAAGCGACGAGTAATCAATTGGTCGGTGGACAACGCGTCAACGTAGTGAATGTGACAAACATGACATTTAAATAATCGGTGCACAGTCTAAAAACATCGTAGTAATACAATTACAAAGCAACCCCCTCCCATCATAACAATTGCCTTTCAAAATTGCCGAACAGAAAGCGTACAACGTGCAACTGTTTTAATACATCATAAGTCAGTAGTATTTGAAAGTATACGCTAAAAGCAAATTCAAAACAAAATTATGAGATTGATCAACGACAATCGAAAATTTGATTGTTGACATTAGAAAAAAAACACATTAAAAATTGCAAATCATGTGCCATAAAAGGCTGTGTAAACATGTTAATAAATAGTTTACTTATGTTGTTGTTTGAAATTGATGCAAACTAGAACTATAATATATAGTGCCAAAGTTATGATAAGCAAAAGGCTTTCTAGTTGGAAGCCAGGTCCACTCAGCTATTATAGGTACATTACTTACGTTATCCTACTATATGAAAGCCTATGTGCGCACTTCGCTTTCTCTCACTCACTCTCTCTCTCTCTCTCTCTCTCTCTCTCTCTGTCCGCAACATTATTGAGGCTATGTGATCAGTATGTTCAGCGATATATAGAGAACTTAAACATACGGAATTTAGTTGCAATAAAATGTTGGGTGTTTTAAATGTATAAACTAAATTTTATTTAAAGAAGGAAAATAAAAATAATGGCATATTCCAATGTAGAAACACATTTTTAATTAATCAACCGGAAAAGTGTTTGCTGTTGTGATAAGAACGCAAAAAAAACAATGACGTCAAATGACATGTTTAAACTACGGAAAGTACACGAAACAAATGGCGTAATCATCCAATTTTAGAATATGAAGAAATGAACTATTTCATTCAAATTTTATTTACATTTAGTCCTACATTCTATAAATCTACTTATCAAGACGTAGGCTATGAATTATATACAATTTTCTCAGCAAAAAGTAATACAAACTACTTTAAAAAATAACACAAATTCCATTGAACAGCCCGGTTTTCAACAGAATCATTTACGGTTTCTTAATCAGTGTGTGCATCTAAAATGGTGTTGGGTTTACTAATAATGTATATAAATTGGTTTTTCTAAAAGTATTGGTAGCCTTTCTTATTTTAAATTAGTCGGATTTTTAGCTATTTAGCTATTTTTTGCATTTTCACTAATATCGAGCTATGTGGAGTAAAGCACATTGCGTTTTGACCAATAACCGGCAAGTACTGTTTCTAACTTAGATGAATTACATAAAACGGTGGACATATGTTGTTGCTAAACTATCCTTTACTTAAATGATATAAATGATGGTATGTAACAAAAAACAAAATATTAGTGCATATAGCAATTTAAATTATAATGATGTTTCAATAAATAGCACAAAATATCCCTTTTGGACGACTTAAAACTTCATTTAGATACAAGAGTAACATATTTTGGATCATCATAGTATTGATCGTTTAATGTGTTGTAAATATTCGAGGCATTAACTGTATCATTGTTGTTTCCTTCAGGCTGTCTTTCTGATGAATCATTGATATTCTCTCTTCTGCTTTCTGAAAGAAAATATCCACTAAACTATAAAGAAAATGTATATGTAAAATTAAACTATATTTATAATTCCTACTACTTAACAATACTGGACTGTAAGATAGTTTTGCAAAAACGCTCCTTTACCTGTACTTGTTACCAATAAATAACCCCCACCTCCTTTCTCCCTCCAAAAAAATAACAAAATTTTATTACTCAGTCCGAGAATCATTAAATACAAAGAGTATCACATATCAATAACTCGCAGTTTTACCCTCCTGACTATAACCAACGCCTGTCTTCTTTAATTATAATTTTCTAAATGGATTTATTCATATCTTAATTGCACAGATTGTTATTAAATGAATACGAACCTAAGATGTTGTAAGAGCGACATTTTTAAATTTATATTATAAATATTTTATATATATACTTTATATATATATATATATATATATATATATATATATATATATATATATATATATATATATATATATATATATATATATATATATATAATAAAAAGCAATGTATGTGTGTGTATGTGTCTATCTGTCTGTCTGTCTTCTTTATTCATTACTACACCTTTCATCCGATCGCATAAAACTTTGAGAAGCTGCTAAGGGAGGTTTGTGTGAAAAGAAATTCAAAATCAAAGGGGTGGCCACCCGGCAGTACGCGATTTGTTTTTTTCTCCATATACGGTATATAAAAAATAAAATTCTGATACGGTTTGGCACCGTTCATCCGGTTGCCATAAAACTTTGGGGAATCGACGAGAATACTTCCGAAAAGGTTTCTGTGAAAAAAATAATTACAATTTGCTATGGGCGCAGCCTGCGAGGGTTCGATGTTCGTGAATACACAATTTGGCTCCCAGAGTTCCAGATCGGCTATGTAATACTTGGCATCCGTTAATCGTGCGTCCCGCAGAGCAGTTAAGGAGTACTACTATATTCAGCGTTAAAACTTTAACAGGCTCATCCATTGAGAAATTGAGTTCGAGCATCTTATAATACACCATTAGTTTAGGTTATCAAATTGCATCAGTCCCACTGATGTTTATAACACATCCACTTTTTTTTTCTGTGTTAAAGAAAAAATCCTGTTCATTTTTGTCATTTTAGAGAATGACGCAATCTGCATCATAGTTTTAGGATCCTATTTGGCGCTCTGGGTTATCCTTTGAGCACCAGAGCGCTTACGTTTGTTTTAAAAAGCCAGGGACCATACTCGGCGCCGTTGCGGTAGTGTAACCGGGGCTCTCATGAGCCCCGTCTACTTCGCCGACAATTAGGCGGTCCCCAAATTGTGTTCTACATTACTTTTACGGTGAATGATTAACGTACATTCAAGGCTTTCATGCGGTAGGTAAATCCGTGCCCCGATAAATATGATCCAAGTTCAGACATTGTTTACATTCAAATTTAAATTCAGTTTTAGAAAAAAGGTGACACGTCTAAGAATATAGGATTGGTAATGCTTTGATGAAACATTTCTGATATATTTCGTCAGACTTTTTTCTATCCTTGCAGCAAAGCGCGGGGACGAGCACGCTAGTATTAAATAAAATTTAGAAGTGTTTATTTTTTTTGGTTAATAGTAGCATCTTTGAATTTTAATTTGTACTTTTTAAAACATAATTTTGTATAATATTTAGGTTGATAATCCCCTGAGGTAATGAATGTAAATCTCCGGCACACATATAAACATTATGTCTCCATGTTTTCATTTTTGGATGTTATCAATACGTATCAGTGAATTGTGTATTTAAAAGAAAAATATGTATTCTTGGGCGTTCAAATCATATATCAGTGTAACAAATTAATATTTTAGACATTGTTTCTTGCTACTAACCATTTAGTGAGTTAACATAATGCTGGGGTGATCTCTCTTCTAGATCATACAGGTTCTCGTTTACAGTGCTTGTTGAGCCGTTGGTCACGTTTGTCCTTCGAGCTAGACAAATAACAGCAATGATGATAATGTTGACAACGCACATGATTCCAATACCGATTCCAATTCCAGGTCCCAATAAATTATCAACATGCTTTTCTGGAAGTTACAAAAATAATTAATTTGAATTTTAAATTACAATACAGAATTATGTAATATTAGTTGTAATGTTGCATCTAGTTCATCTTAAGTTATAATGCTTTTCCTGAAATTTGTAGCATATGCAGAAAATAATGTATAGTTCAAAAATGAGTTTTAATTAGAAATAACACCAAAAAAATCGCACTTCATACACTACAATAGGTTGGTAATAACATTTTTTTTTCCTTTTTTCTTAACATTATAAAAATATAGGATTTAAAAAATAAATACTGAATTTTTAAAAAAGCATAGCAGGCTATTAGTTATATCACTAACGTTAATCGTTTCTTATACATATTTAAAAAATCACTATGCGGGGTCTTTTGTAATTAAATTTGTTGAATTTAGTAGAGTGAATACAATCAAGAATTAACAAAAATGCAGAAACAGAAACAAACAAATAAACAAACGTTGCAAACTAAATAAAAACTTGTAAAACAAAAATAAACAGCTTACCCTCGTTACAAGCGTTACCCTGTTTTCCAGTAACACAGCTGTTACATGTACCATCAAAATTGTTACAAATCTGGTCTCTACAGTTATTGCTGCACCTTTTTGTACAATTATTGCCGTAATATGTTGTGTCACAGTCTGGGTATAAATTAGTACAATTAGTAAGTTTTAATTTGTTTTATTTTAAAATCGTTTAAAAATATCTCATTACATAGATTTTTTGTAAACATTTTACTTAAGTCTGAATCCCTTTAGTTAAAGTATCTCTAAAAATATTAAAATATTGCCACATACTTTATAACCAGTATCCACTGTTTCATTTTAAATATAAAATAAATCCCGATTCAACGTTATTACTTAATTGACATAGTATAACTAAAAAGTAAACTTTTAAATCAAGAAACGATTTTTATGTCGACGTTACCAAAGTAACGAGGTAATGTTCGGAAACATGTTTTAAGCAGTGTTAACTTTATTTTACAAACAAACCAAAAACACAAAAAACAAAATACAAACAACTTACCATGATCACAAAACATTCCCTGTTTACCAGGAATACAACCATTACAATTGCCATCAACACTGTTACACATTTGGTTTGTACAGTTACTGCTGCATCTTTGTGTACAGTTACTGCCGAAATATGTGGCATCACAGACTGTGTATAATCAGAAAGTTTTAATTCATTATAGCATACTAGCTACATACCCGTGTTTCGACAATTTTCAAAAGTCAAAAACAATATGCACACACAAAAAAACATACATTTTTTTTAATCTTGTAAAATAAATTTTAACTGTACACTTTGAAAAGAGGAAAGCATTGAATAATATAAAGGGGAAAAATATACCTTACCACCACTCGCATGAAACCACGAACCACACACCTTACCAAACCAAACACTAAACCCCAACACCACACCATATGGCTTGCCCTCACACCAATCCCCACCAAAACATACTCCGCACCATCAGCTATATTATACAACACATCCAACGACCCACATGTTAAAATTGTATTTAAACTTAGAACACTAGAATTAATATGAACATGATATCACATTCCTGTGCCTGCAAAATTTAATTAATTTAATTTTTTTACTCTTTAATTATAAAAGGTATCACTTTTGTCAAACTGCCTAAGAAAGTATATTATTTGACATTGATTATTTTTACACAATTAAATAATTTTAGAGTATTTATTAGTTTATTAATTGTATTATGACAAATATGCGAGCAGCTGACAACGAAGAAAAACTTAAGGCTGTATATTAAGATTTCAGTCTTGTATAAGTAAATATGAAGAAGCAATGCATGAAAGGAAATGGAATTTTATTCTTTATTTAACGCGCTGTATACTATGTATTGACTAATTCATTCACACATTAGTGTTATGATGTGATTTCATTAAGAACAACATACCACATTATTTGTGTTTAGAATAACGAAAGGAGGTGTCTTTTATTAAACCCCAGGTTTTTTGTCCGAAACAGTATCCCATTAATTAATGAAGCTGGAGTGATCTCACTAAACTTTCTCGAATATTATATGAAACTGTTGGGGATGGACTCGGGATATAGACATGATCATTAATCCATTTTTATATACTTTAGCTTTTTAAAATATAATATAATCACTTAAAAACAATTGCGCACCAAGTGAACGGAAAACAATATTCGTATAATATTGCGGAATATTACTACTTTAAAAATTCATATGCCGTTTTTTGATAAATAGGAAATAGCGCAAATTACTACTTCCCGTTCGACGGAAATTTATCTAAACACAGACCATTAAATCTTTTACTATTATGTGAAATTGTGTTTATCTATTTGAAATAGTACTCAAGTTATAGGCTGTTGGAAAAAACTAAACTAAAAAACGTTCCACTTTTGGTTATCAGAAATCGCTGAAAATATGTTACAGAACTACAAATTGGATCTAATCATCAACCTAGCTGTGCTTAAAGCGCTTAACCACGATCGTGGCTTTGCTATAGCACAACGTATAACGCGTAAGGCCACGATCGTGGTTTCGTGTGTTTGCGGCCGTATTTTTCGTAAATACTCGGCAATTAGACCAGTAACCGTAAATATACGACTACTTCTGCCATTTCCGATTTCAAACATCGTGGTTTAGAGTTTGCATTGTGAAAGCAAATTTTTTTACAAATAATAATGGACAACGACTCAAGTGACAGCGAAGTTGATTTTCCTAATCTCAAGAACAGAATTGAGACTGATGATGAATTTGATAGCAGCGATTTAGATGATTTGTCTGGCAAGTGTTCGACTTTAAATTTAATAAATACAAATAGATCTAAATACTTTCTCTTCAGCGTGGTATGGTGAGTTGTAAAAATAAAGTAGAAAAATGTGACATTATTTTATTTCTACTCTAAGGGTGTGGGTGTTTGAAGTGCCAAGCCCACCTCTTCATGTACATACTGTTTTAAAATTTATGAATGAATAGCTAGAACTATAGAATCTATATTAAATGTTACTACTTAGGTAAACAGATGTAAATGAAATCAATTTAATTATAAATAATAAATAAGCTCTAATTATAAATTAAATCTATTTTTTCAGATTCAGAAGACAGGGAATGTCTTACAGCTGATGGACATTGGCAGCCTATTGTTGGAGTGGATTGTGGCTCTAGACCTATCCAGTTTACAGCAAATCCAGGACCCAAGCATAAACCAGCTGCTACTGCAAAGCCTGTTGAATACTAGGATCTGTTTTTAACAGCAGAGCTCACCAATGTCATCATAGCTGAGACCAACTGCTACGCTAGTGATTTTACAGAGACCAACAAAGACAAGTTGGACAGCCTTCCCCGATCACGAGTCCACAAATGGATTCCACTCACCCTAGCTGAATTTAGGGCCTCTCTTGCTGTGGTCCTGAGCATGGGCTTAAATCAAAAGCCCAATTACAATGCTTATTGGGACTCCTGCCACCATAGTCAAGAAACACCATGGTTCCCTGCTTATTTTAATCGCGACAGGTTTCAGATCATTCTGAAATTTCTGCACTTTGCTGACAACAGCCAGATGCCAGAAAGAGATGAGCCACATTTTAAGCTCTTCAAGATAAAGGAGGTGGTGGATTACTTAAACCAGAAATTTATCTACCACTACAATCCCTTTCAAAATATCAGCATTGATGAGAGCATGATTGGTTTCAAGGGACGCACCCCCTAACTTCGCCAGTAGGCCTACATGCCCAATAAAAGGCACTCAAGGTTTGGCATCAAGCTGTGGTGCTTGTCAGACAGCTCAAATGGCTATCTATACCAGTTTAAAATCTAAGGATCTCAGGCTAAAAGACCAGCAGTTCCTCCAGCCAGGTCATTCACCCACGAACTGATCATTCGTCTGCTGCCCAACGCAGACTTGCTACACAGAGGTCACCAATTGGGTGTGGATAATTTTTTCACCTCGGTAGATTTGTTCAGTGAACTCTATACTCTGAACACTACAGCTACTGGCATTGTTGGGATTAATAGGAAAGGGCTGTCTGAATTTTGTGTGAAAAAAATTAAAGTATAAAGAATTAACATGCGCAAGGAATGGTAACCTTCTATGTTTGGCTTATCAGGACAGAAAGCCTGTTCTGTTGCCTACCATGGCAAAGTCTGGCTCATTGACACAGTCAACAGCAGGAACCAAGCTGTCAGGAGGCCTGCTGTCATTCATGCTTACAATGAAGCAATGGGTGGTGTAGACTTGGGCCTGCTGTCATTCATGCTTACAATGAAGCAATGGGTGGTGTAGACTTGGGCCTGCTGTCATTCATACATACAATGAAGCAATGGGTGATGTGGACTTGAGCCTGCTGTCATTCTTACATTACAATGAAGCAATGGGTGGTGTGGACTTGAGCCTGCTGTCATTCATGCTTACAATGGAGCAATGGGTGGTGTAGACTTGGGCCTGCTGTCATTCATGCTTACAATGAAGCAATGGGTGGTGTAGACTTGGGCCTGCTGTCATTCATACATACAATGAAGCAATGGGTGGTGTAGACTTGGGCCTGCTGTCATTCATGCTTACAATGAAGCAATGGGTGGTGTAGACTTGGGCCTGCTGTCATTCATGCTTACAATGAAGCAATGGGTGGTGTAGACTTGGGCCTGCTGTCATTCATGCTTACAATGAAGCAATGGGTGGTGTAGACTTGGGCCTGCTGTCATTCGTGCTTACAATGAAGCAATGGGTGGTGTAGACCTGAGTCTGCTGTCATTCATGCTTACAATGAAGCAATGGGTGGTGTAGACTTGGGCCTGCTGTCATTCATGGTTACAGTGAAGCAATAGGTGGTGTACACTTGGGCCTGCTGTCATTCATGCTTAAAATGAAGCAATGGGTGGTGTAGACTTGGGCTTGCTGTCATTCATGCTTACAATGAAGCAATGAGTGGTGTAGACTTGGGCCTGCTGTCATTCATGCTTACAATGAAGCAATGGGTGGTGTAGACTTGGGCCTGCTGTCATTCATGCTCACCATGAAGCAATGGGTGGTGTACAATTGGGCCTGCTGTCATTCATGCTTACAATGAAGCAATGGGTGGTGTAGACTTGGGCCTGCTGTCATTCATGCTTACAATGAAGCAATGGGTGGTGTACAATTGGGCCTGCTGTCATTCATGCTTACAATGAAGCAATGGGTGGTGTAGACTTGGGCTTGCTGTCATTCATGCTTACAATGAAGCAATGAGTGGTGTAGACTTGGGCCTGCTGTCATTCATGCTTACAATGAAGCAATGGGTGGTGTAGACTTGGGCCTGCTGTCATTCATGCTCACCATGAAGCAATGGGTGGTGTACAATTGGGCCTGCTGTCATTCATGCTTACAATGAAGCAATGGGTGTTGTACACTTGGGCCTGCTGTCATTCATGCTTACAATGAAGCAATGGGTGGTGTAGACTTGGGCCTGCTGTCATTCATGCTTACAATGGAGCAATGGGTGGTGTAGACTTGGGCCTGCTGTCATTCATGTTTACAATGAAGCAATGAGTGGTGTAGACTTGGGCCTGCTGTCATTCATGCTTACAATGAAGCAATGGGTGGTGTAGACTTGGGCCTGCTGTCATTCAAGCTTACAATGAAGCAATGGGTGGTGTAGACTTGGGCCTGCTGTCATTCATGCTTACAATGAAGCAATGGGTGGTGTAGACTTGAGGCTGCTGTCATTCATGCTTACAATGAAGCAATGGGTGGTGTGGACTTGAGCCTGCTGTCATTCAGGCTTACAATGGAGCAATGGGTGGGGTAGACTTGGGCCTGCTGTCATTCATGCTTACAATGAAGCAATGGGTGGTGTAGACTTGGGCCTGCTGTCATTAATGCTTACAATGAAGCAATGGGTGGTGTAGACCTGAGTCTGCTGTCATTCATGCTTACAATGAAGCAATGGGTGGTGTAGACTTGGGCCTGCTGTCATTCATGCTTACAATGAAGCAATGGGTGGGGTAGACTTGGGCCTGCTGTCATTCATGCTTAAAATGAAGCAATGGGTGGTGTAGACTTGGGCTTGCTGTCATTCATGCTTACAATGAAGCAATGAGTGGTGTAGACTTGGGCCTGCTGT